GGTCCTGGTGATATCCCAAGTGCCCAGAACATCCCATGGGAGGTACTCTAGATGTATGGGATGAAATGAGGGAGGGCGTGGACATGAGAGGGGCCTCCCGGGGCGGGGAGGGGGAGGCGGAGACTCCCGCCACCACCCCCCTCACTGTCTGGAGAAACGTGCAACTTTGCAGAAGTCAACCTTGGCAAAGACTCAGGCGGGGGGTGGGGGGGCAGGAAGTGGGAAGGGGTGCCTCTAAGCCGACTGGGGAGGCCGCTCCGGGTGTCCAGATGGCACCAGGCTCCGGCTGGGAGAGATGCCTCATCTGTTACTCCGCCGGCCAGGGCCCTCAGCCACCAGCTCAGCCTGGAGTCCCTGGTGCTGCTCTATGCGGACGGGGAGCAAACCAGAGACAGGGGGAGGTGGCTCAGTGGCTGAAGCAGAGCAGGGAGAAAATTCTGAGGGGTTCCAGGCACACGGCACACACCGGCACACGCATGCGGGAGCCCTCACACATGGCCGTGCACGTGCGACTGGCAGGTGGAACTTTCTAGAAGTCTGGCCATGGTGGGGTTGAGACCAGGCCCTACGTGCAGGAGCGAAAGACAGGGAAGTGGCAGCCGCAGACGTCTGTGGGACAGGAGGAGGTCTGGGCCTTGGTGAGACTGCGTGTGCCAGCAGCAGGAAGCCATCCTTCTCAGGGGGGATGCGTGCAGGTTCCCCGGGCAGGGAAGGTGGGTAAGACCACACGTCGGTCCTGGCTCCAGCTCCCAAATCCAGCATCCCCCTAGGGGGCCCTGGTTCCCCAGGGACACTGTGCAGCTTCCACCATCGTGGGCCTTTGGGGAGTGAGCCAGTGGGTGGGACTTCTGTCTCTGATCATAGAGGGGAAAGGAAAAGGGGGGAGGGGTGCAGGGTGAGCACAAATCTTGGCTGTCCGTGTGGCCTTTAGGCTGTTGCGTCTAGCCGCAAGATTTGCCTGTGTGGGACTGAGGGTGTGCATATTCCAGGAATAATTCAATTCCACTGGGACATCTCTGTGCACCCAGCCTAAAGTTGACTCCTCTCCTGCCGTTCCCTCTCTCGTCATAAGACCTCCACGCCCCTTACAGTGCTACTGACAATTTGTTGTTATAATTTGTTTGCCTATACTATTTCTTTGCTGTTTTCCCCAGTACATATTAGCTCCATGGAGCAAGGATTTTTTGCACCTAGAATATTGTAGACACAAAATAAATACCAGGGGTCTTTAAAGAAATTCATGAAACACGCATATTATATATATAAAAATTTGTGCATTGGCCGGCATGGCAGCTCACTAGGCTAATCCTCCTCCTGCAGCGCCAGCACACCAGGTTCTAGTCCCGGTCGGGACGCCGGTTCTGTCCCGGTTGCTCCTCTTCTAGTCCAGCTCTCTGTCGTGGACCGGTAGGGCAGTGGAGGATGGCCCAAGTGCTTGGGCCCTGCACCTGCATGGGAGACCAGGGAAAGCGCCTGGCTCCTGGCTTCAGATTGGCACAGTGCGCTGGCCGTGGCGGCCATTTGGGGGGTGAACCAATGGAAGGAAGACCTTTCTCTCTGTCTCTCTCTCTCACTGTCTAACTCTGCCTGTCAAATAAAAAAAATTGTGCATGGATTTAAAACACTTTTGAGAGACAGAGCCAGTTTCCATCTGCTGGCTCCTCCCTCCCCCAAAACCCATAACAGCCTGGGCAGGACCAAGCCCTAGGGAACTCAATCCAGGTCCCCCAAGTAGGTGGCAGGAGCCCCATCACTTGAGCTGTCACTGCTGCCTCCCAGGGTCTGCTTTATTAGGAAGCAGAGCCAGACACAGAACCCAGGCTCTCCTCTGCAAGCTGGGGGCCCCTCAGAGGCCCAGCCAGAGGCTCATCTGGGAATCTAATTTCACCTGAACTTTTGGAAGTCCCGCCTACTTGTTGAGTGGGTGCATGGAAGTCCCGCCTACTTGTTGAGTGGGTGCATGGAGAGCCGGTGAGCCTGGTGCATGGTGGTGTGCGTGTGTGTGCGTGTGTGGGTGGGTGTGTGGGTGTGCACTGGCCGAAGTCCAGAGCTCCTGGAAGGCCCTATGCCTGTTCCCATCTCTGTCCTTTCCTTTCTCAGCTATTTCCAGCCATACCTGCGGCCACACTGGCTTTATAGGGGCGATGACATGGGGGGAGGGCCGGAGGCGGTCGCGGGCACTCCCCTGCCTCCGGTGGAAAATGCGAGGGGGTTGGATGGGTTCCTGCTAAGCCTCCTCTGAAATCCTGAGAATCCAGTCCTTACTTAATCCCATGGGACGCCTTCACCATTCAGGGACCACCTACCGCGTGCCCCGCACTGTTCTAGACCTGACCCTGCAGGGGTCAGCGAAGGAAGCAGGCAGACAGGAGGCAGAAATGGCATTTAATCCCCCTCTCTCATCGTCAGGGAATTTGTGCTTTTCCCCGGGACCTCACAGCCTCGCCAGCCGGGAGCAGCGCCCCCTACTGGTCAGCGCCACGGCCCGGCACACAGTAGGCAGCTAATCAGCATGCAATGACCTGGGAAATGCAATGCGGGCGCACGGGCAGCCAGGTAGCAGGTAGCGCGCGGCCAGACCCCCAAGGTGTGCCAGTCCCCACCTTGCAGGTTAGGAGACTAAGGCTCGGGAGGCAAAGGGCTGGGTGAGGGGGTGAGTGTGGGGTGCGGCGGCGGCAGCAAGGGTAGCCCCGGAAAGCACCCCAGTCCTCCCTGCTCCCAGCACACGGGAATGAGAGGGCAGTGCTGATGGGGGTGCGGGGGACTGGGGGGTCCCGGGGGGCTGGGAGGGCAGCGCTGACGGGGGGGGTGCTGGGGGGCTGGGAGGGAAGCGCTGATGGGGGTGCGGGGGGCTGGGGGGTCCCGGGGGGCTGGGAGGGCAGCGCTGACGGGGGGATGCTGGGGGGCTGGGAGGGAAGCGCTGATGGGGGTGCGGGGGGCTGGGGGGTGTCGGGGGGCTGGGAGGGCAGCGCTGATTGGGGGTTGCTGGGGGGATGGGAGGGAAGTGCTGATGGGGGTGCGGGGGGCTGGGGGTGTCGGGGGACTGGGAGGGAAATGCTGATGGGGGTGCCAGGGAGCTGGGAGGGAAACGCTGATGGGGGTGCCGGGGGCTGGGAGGCCCACGGACGCTGGAAAGCACCTCGGGTCTCTCTCTGGTTCTCAGTCCCCGAGGCTGGAGATGATGCCACATTAGGAAATGTTTGGCGCGGCAAGGGGACCTTCCGGCGCCGGGTCCCCGGTTCTGGGAGCTGGGGCTCCTGGCACCCCGTTCCGCTGGGGCTGGGCAGAGAGAGACCCCTTGAGCCTACCTGGGAATCCCGGGCATCGGGGGTCCTTCCTCACATATCCCCGGAGTCTGACGGCAGGGCTTCGGGGAAGGGGGTGGTCTTCCTGGGGGCTCCAGGGAGGTCCCCCTCACCGTTCTAGACTCCTCCCGGGCGCCGGACCCACCCCCTGCCCACCGCAGCTTGCAGCCCAGAGCTTACCTTGGAAGGGGGCTGGGGAAGGGACGCCCCGCCCTCTCCGGCGGGGGGAGGGGGCGGGAAGGGACTGGGGTGCCCAGACCCTTTGTTTGCTGGTGTGTGAGTGTGAGTGTGAGTGTGTGCGCGCGGCGGTGAGACCCGCCGGGGTGTGAGTCCGTGCGCGCGCGTGCTCGGGCCGTGACGGCCACGGAGGAGCTGGACTGGCGGCTGGAGGGGGGGAGGGGGAAGCGACGGGGACTCCCCCGCCCCCGCCCGCCCACTCGCGGGTTTGAATGAAAAGCGAGGGGGAGGGGCGGCGGAGGGAGGGCGCTTTTGGTCCCGATGGCCACTCCCCCTCCCCAACGGGCCGGGGAATCCCTCCCCACCCCCACCCCCATGGAGCGATTTTTATTCTCTCCAGGGACCCCCCACTATCTACAGAGGCTCTGCGAGGAACTGGGGAGAGGCGTCCCAGACACAGGTGGCCGGAGCTCCTCCAACTCCACTTGACCCTCGCGGAGCACCCCTTAATCTGAGATAATCCTGGCCCGAGGCTGCAACACGGCCTTTTATCCCTGCATCCGAGAGTGGGTGGAGCCGTGGAGCAGCGCGCGGCCCAGCTGCCCCGAGCTCGGGGCAGTGGCATCCTGAAGCCGTTCTGGCCGAGGGGAGGGGTCCCAGCCGAACGGGGAGGGGCGACGAGCAGCCCCAGACCCGGACGACGAGGAAAGCCCCCTACCGCCCCTCCCCAGTCCCCTACTGGGCCGGAGGCCAGCAGCACTGGCCACTAGCTGGACATTTGGCGACACCCAGCGGCCGTGCGTGGGGACGCCACGCAGGGCGCCCGAAAACCTTTTGGGTGATTCCAGAGGGGGGGTGTGCGCGCAAGTCGTCTCTCACGAGTGGCGGGCACCGGGGGCTGTGTGTGGTCCCAGCGCGGGAAACCCTGCCCTACCGTCGACCCCCTCCCCTCCCCGCCACGTAGGACAGGATCTTACCGCCGCTCGCTTAGACCCCTCCACCACGGCAGGGTCTCGACCCCCCCTACTCGAACTGGGGAGTCCCCTCGGGTCTCGTGCCCCTCCCTAGCCCGGAATCCAGTCCCCCACCTTCAGGGGAGCTGGGTGGGGGTGGGGGTGGGTCTTCGAGTCGAGGCCCCGCCCCTGCGGTGGCCTCGGGCTGATGTCACTGCGGCTTGGCCAACGGGACAATCCAGCCCCTCAGTCTCGTCAACTGCCCCAGCGCAAACGCCCCCCGGGGAGGGGGCGGCAGGAGATGAGAGGCGCTCCTGGCTGCCGCGCTGCCCTGTAGGCCCCCCAGGAGGTGCCGGGCAGAGTCTCCCTGCCCAACGAGGCGGGGTCTCGGCGGGAACTCCCTGGCCCCTAACACGTGCGCAGGTCCCTTTAAGGCGGGCTTGGTCGCCAGGGCCGCCGCCGCCGTTACCAGGGATGTGACGTCACGCGCGGGCGGGGGCTGCGCGCGCGGGCGGAAGCGGAAGGGGCGGGGCTCCGCGGGCCGAGTGTCCAGCGCTGCCGCCGCCGCCGCCGCCGCCGCCGCCGCTCGAGCGGGCGCGGGCTGGGCCGTGGAGGCAAGATGGTGGACTACAGCGTGTGGGACCACATCGAAGTGTCCGACGATGAGGACGAGACGCACCCCAACATCGACACGGCCAGCCTCTTCCGCTGGAGGCACCAGGTAGAGCGCGCGTGCCCGGCCCCTGCCCCCTTTCCCGGGACCGCTCCAGAGTTCTGACCGCGGGTACTGCCCAGGGGACCCCGCGGTTGTTGACGCCCGGGATTCCAACCTCACGGTTTGGAGTTTCCCGCCCCTCGATTCCACGCCGGGGCTCGGGGAGCGCTGGGACCCCCACCCCCACCCACCCCCAGTCCCTGCGCGCGACCCCTGGGGCCGCCTTCGGATTCTGCACGGGTCTCTATTAACCCTTGAGACGCCCTCGGTCTGTGTATTCCCAGGGCCACCGGGGGGGGGGGGTCCCTCGCCTGTAGGAACCTCTGCCGGCATCTGAGGACACCCCACCCCGCCTCACCCCTGCCCCCAGCCTCATCAACCCTGGGACGGGCAGGTGGTCCCTGCTGGCAACTCAGGGACCCCATGGTCACCACCCCCTCTTTGACGTATTTGCCCACGACAGAGCCCCCAGAGCCAGACCCCAGAATCCTAGCCGTGAGCAGCCCGTGGCTTCCCACCCATCCTCCCGCCCGGAGGTGCTCACCCCGCAGCTCGCACGGAGCGCGCACCTCCCAGAAGCTTCCAGTAGGAATTCCCGTCCCGGGCCTCCCTTCTGGCAGACCTGTATCCAGAAAGCCCTAGAAGGGCCCTGCCCCATCCTTCCGGGATGTGGCCTGGGGCCTGCTTCTGCCTCCCGGGCCCACCCCCAAACCTCTCCTTAAAGCGGCCGTCTCTTGGGGCGTGCACCTGCTGTGCGGGAGTGTGGGAAGAAAGTTCCAGCCCTTCTAGTTCTATTTATTATGAAATATTTAAGACCTCCGCAAGGCTCCCCAGACTATTTCTGTCGCGTAAAGAGGTTAATCTTTACTCTGGCGTGGAGAGCGGGGTGGGGGCCGCCCCATTTCCTGGCCGGCTGCTGTGGAGGAGGGGCGGGGTGCCCGCCCAGCCCCCAGCCCCCTCTCCAGTTTGCGAGGTGGGGGGAGGTTTGTGATCTCTCTGAGCGCTGCAAAGCTGAGCTAACGCGGCGCCCGCTTCTGGAAAGATCCTGGTGCAGAGACTGGGATGGAAAAGTTAGAGGTGGCCTAGTGGCTGCCACTCTGGGTTCCCGGAGAGGTGGGCGTTTGCCCGCCGCCCTGGGCTCTGCACCCACTGCCGGCTCCGGTTCCCACTGCCCCGGGAGGCAGCAGGGACGCCTCAGGGCCCTGGGCCCCCGCCACCCACGTGGCGGACTTGCTTTGAGTTCCTGGCCCCCGGCTTCAGCCTGGCCCAGCCCCAGCCCTTGTGGGCATTTGACGTGATGATGGACTAGCAGCTGGGAACTCTGTCTCTGCCTCTGAACTTTAAAAGATGGAGGCCGGCGCCGCGGCTCACTAGGCTAATCATCCACTTGCGGCGCCGGTACCCCAGGTTCTAGTCCCGGTCGTGGCGCCAGATTTTGTCCCGGTTGCCCCTCTTCCAGGCCAGCTCTCTGCTGTGGCCCGGGAGTGTAGTGGAGGATGGCCCGAGTGCTTGGGCCCTGCACCCGCATGGGAGACCAAGAGAAGCACCTGGCTCCTGGCTTTGGATCAGCGCGGTGCGCTGGCCGCAGTGGCCATTGGGGGATGAACCAACGGCAAAGGAAGACCTTTCTCTCTGTCTCTCTCTCACTGTCCACTCTGCCTGTCAAAAAAAAAAAAAAAAAGAAAGAAAAGAAAAGTGATATTGCTTATTTTGTTGCCAAAAATTTGTAACCAGGAATAGTCCTTTCGAGGCACTGGTTTTCTGTGAACTTTTTGAATCCAACTTATAAGCCTGAATTTCAGACTTTTTGCACCCCGCTAAAGTTGCCTTTTGAAAGATTTATTTACTTTGCTGAGCCAATTTTTTGGTGAAGACTTATTTAATTTTAAAGATTATCCATTTCTTCTTTTAAGTTTTTTTTTTTTTTTTTTTTTTTTTTTTTGACAGGCAGAGTGGACAGTGAGAGAGACAGGTCTTCCTTTGCCGTTGGTTCACCCTCTAATAGCTGCTGCGTCCGGCGCGCTGCAGCCAGCGCACCGCGCTGATCCGATGGCAGGAGCCAGGAGCCAGGTGCTTTTCCTGGTCTCCCATGGGGTGCAGGGCCCAAGCACCTGGGCCATCCTCCACTGCACTCCCTGGCCACAGCAGAGGGCTGGCCTGGAAGAGGGGCAACCGGGACAGAATCCGGCGCCCCGACCGGGACTAGAACCCGGTGTGCCGGCGCCGCTAGGCGGAGGATTAGCCTAGTGAGCTGCGGCGCCGGCCTTCTTTTAAGTTTTTTAATTTAAGATTTAGTTTATTTGAAAGGCAGAGTTACAGAGGGAGAAGGAGAGATGGAGCCGGTTCGCTCCACAAATGGCTGCAAGAGCCAGGGCTGGGCTGATCTGAAGCCAGGAGCCAGGAGCTTCCTCCAGGTCTCCCACGCGGGTGCAGGGGCCCAAGGGCTTGGGCCATCTTGCACTGCTCTCCCAGGCCACAGCAGAGAGCTGGATCAGAGTGGAGCAGCCGGGACTCAAACTGGTACCCATAAAGGTGCTGGCGCTTCAGGCCAGGGCTTTAACCACAGCACCAGCCCCAAAAGTTATCTTTTATAATGTCATTTCTCCATGAAATTTTTTTTAAAGATTTTATTTATTTATTTGACAGGTAGAGTTACAGACAGTAAGACAGAGAGAAAGGTCTTCCATCCGTTGGTTCAACCGCCAAACGGCCACAATGGCCGGAGCTGCACCGATCCGAAGCCAGGAGCCATGTGCCCCCTCCTGGTCTCCCGTGCGGGTGCAGGACCCAAGCACTTGGGCCATCCTCCATGAATTTTTGAAGCAGCATTCCAGGCGTGGCCAGTTGGGTTGGATTCAGCTCCTGGATTATTGGCACGCCAGCCAGCCGCTCGCTAGCTCTGGATCCAAGCGTATGCCTGGGACCCAACCCGTGGGGGTCGATGCCAGGGTTTCCTGATTTATGGATTTTTAAAGACGTGTTTATTGGAAAGGCAGAGTTGACAGAGGAGGAGAGAGTCCATGTGCTGGTTCCTTCCCTAAATGGCTGTGACAGCAGGGCTGCTCCAGCTCCGCCCTCTGGCTTTCCTGATGCGCGGCCAGAGCTCAGATCCTCGGGCTCTCGCCTGCTGCTTTCCCAGGTGAATTAGCAGGGAGACGGATCAGGAGCGGAACGACTGGGAGTTTTTAGTTGAAAGAGTTACAGTGAGAGAGAGAAAGAGGAGAAAGATCTTCCATTCGCTGATTCACTCTCCAAATGGCCGCAACAGCCGGGGCTGGGCCAGGCCAGAGCCAGGAGTTTCTTCCTGGTCTCTAAGAATTTGGGCCGTGTTCCGCTGCTTTCCCAGGCACATCCGCGGGGAGCTGGATGGGAAGTGGAGCAGCCGGGACTCGAACCCGCGCTCCGCTATGGGATGCCGGCACTGCAGGCAGTAGCTTTACCTGCCGCCCCACGACGCCAGCCCCCACCGTATTGAGTCTCTCGTGTCTGTGTATTTGTTTAGATTGTAATTTATACAGTCCATAATGCTCTGGGCAGGAGCGACTGTCTGCATCGTCACATAGGTAGTTCTTGCTGTGGTCAGAAAAGACGGCATGGATTTCGGGAGGGGACGAGTGCCCCGCTCCCTGACCCCCTTGCCCAGAGAGAGCTGCCGTCAGTGGCGCCTTCCAGGGCTTGCACGCCACCGAGCGCCCACGAGCCTCGGTGGCCCCATCTGCAGGGCACAGGGGCAGGGACACGAGTGCACCCCTCTGGCCGCCCTGGCTTCCGAGCAGGGGGCCCGTCACAGCCCCTCCCGGCTGAGAGGCGCAAAGCCCAGGCCGGGCCGGCCGCCGCCCCCACCCTCACCGCCTCCTGAAAGCCATTTTTAGCCTCCGCCTCCCTGGCGGCCACTCAGAGGGCACACAGAAGCCGGGAGGAGACAGGCTCCTGTTGCCACCCAGAGCCAGCCGGAGTCCCTGGGAGGTGGCAGGACGGCACCCGGGCCCGGGGCGGGGGAAGAGGGGCAGAGGCCAGCAGCTTTGTCGAGACACCTGTGGTGCGGGCCGTCTTGACCCCTGACCCCTGGAGGTTCGCTGAGCCATCTGGTTGGGCATCAGAATAGGGTGCAGGCCTCTGGGTCCTCCCTGACAAGTGCCCGCCCTCTGCCAGAAGTGGGGGTGGGGGTGGGGGACACAGGCCAGCAGTGAGTCAGCCGCTCATTCTGGTGGACAGAGACAGCCGTGGTAACAATGGGATGGGGCCTTGTTGGCCAAGTGCCCTGCCCTCCGGGCTCTCAGTGGCCCCGCAGTGTCCCATTTCACAGAGGGGAAGACCAAGGCCTGGGGTCGAGGGGCCCGGCCAAAGTCGCCCCGCCACGCGACAGGGGTGGAGCTGGGTGCTGTGGTGATGCGGCAGCAGGCACCCCCAGTCTCCGGTGGAAACCCAGTTGCACACTCGGGGGGGGGGGTCGCTTCTGTAAGCCCCAGAGAGCGAGCTGGTCCCCGTGCACTCCAGGAGGGACGCCCAGGAGTGGCAGTGTCCTGGGCCTGTTTGAGGTGGGCGGGGCGGGCAGGCGTGGGCCGCAGCAGTGACCTGCAGCCCATGGCGGAGGTGGGCCCAGGAGGCAGCAGCTGGTGGCCCCAGTACTCAGGTGCCTGCCAGCCACGTGGGAGACCTGGACGGAGCCCTGGGCTCCCCGCTTAGGCCTGGCCCGCCCTGGCTGCTGCGGGCATCTGGGGAGTGACCCAGCAGACACACAGAAGATCTCTCTCTCTCTCTCTCAAATAAATAGTTTTTGTTTTGTTTTGAAGATAGGCAAGGCTAAGCCATGCTGTTTGGCTGGCCAGGTGTGTTAAGTGCATTTTTTAAAAATGGGGTCATTGGAAAGGCAGAGAGAGCTTGCTTGCACATCTGCTGGTTCGCTCCCTGAATGCCCATGGTAGCCTGCTGGGCCCCAAGGCGCCAGGGGCCGCATGCGGAACGACCTGGGGGCACCTAGGGGAACCACGGAGAGGTGGGGCCCAGCGAGGGGCTCAGGGGTCCACCTGAACCCAGACTTTCCAAGATGGCGCGGCAGAGGGGGCCGTGGGCAGAGTACGGCAACCTCTGAGCCTGGATTGGACGGGGCCGGTGACCGAAAGAGGCGCGTTAGCAGCTCTGGGTGGAGCGGGTACCGCCAAGCCCCGGTGGGGAGCGGAGAGGGCTGGAGGGCAGGGGGCGGGCCGGGCGGGGCCGTGCCCTCAGTAGGTGAGCCTGGAAGCTGGGAGACCAGGGCGCGCGCAGAGGCCGCGCGGACCCTTCGCGGGGCGCTGGGGGCCGGGACGAGCCGCTGCGGTGTGCCCGCAGGCCCGGGTGGAGCGCATGGAGCAGTTCCAGAAGGAGAAGGAGGAGCTGGACCGCGGCTGCCGCGAGTGCAAGCGCAAGGTGGCCGAGTGCCAGCGCAAGCTGAAGCAGCTGGAGGTGGCCGAGGGCGGCCAGGCCGGCCAGGCCGAGCTGGAGCGGCTGCAGGCCGAGGCGCAGCAGCTGCGCAAGGAGGAGCGCAGCTGGGAGCAGAAGCTGGAGGAGATGCGCAAGAAGGAGAAGAGCCTGCCCTGGAACGTGGACACGCTCAGCAAGGACGGCTTCAGCAAGGTGCGCGTGCGCGGGCCGCGGGGCTGGGGGCGGCCGCCGGGGGGCGGGGCGCGGGGCGCGTGTGGAGCCTGCCTGGGGGGCCCGGCGGAGGACGCACCCCACCGGCGCCCCCCTCTGATCTGCCCGAAGGCCCCCGCGCACGCTCCCGCCTCCTTGCTGCTCATGGCGCCGTCGACGTGGACGGGCTGGGCGCGGCGGCCCCGGCCTCCGCGCTCGGCTGGGCGCCCCCAGCCCACTCCCCTTCTCACCCACCCGCAGAGCATGGTGAACACCAAGCCCGAGAAGGCGGAGGAGGACTCGGAGGAGGTGAAGGAGCAGAAACACAAAACCTTTGTGGAGAAGTACGAGAAGCAGATAAAGCACTTCGGTGAGTGGGGGGTTGGGGGTGGGCGCGTGGGGGCGGGCCCCCCGGGGCGGGCAGGGCGCGGCGCCCCCAAGGCCTCACCAGCACCCGCGACCGCTTCCCCGCAGGCATGCTCCGGCGCTGGGACGACAGCCAGAAGTACCTGGCGGACAACGTGCACCTGGTGTGCGAGGAGACCGCCAACTACCTGGTCATCTGGTGCATCGACCTGGAAGTGGAGGAGGTGCGCGGGCGGGGCCGCCGGGCCAGGGCCAGGGCAGGGCGGGGCGCGCCGGGCCCGCGAGCGCCCCCTGGTGACGCGCCGCCCCGGTCCGGTCCTCCTCCGCAGAAATGCGCGCTCATGGAGCAGGTGGCCCACCAGACCATCGTCATGCAGTTCATCCTGGAGCTCGCCAAGAGCCTCAAGGTGGACCCCCGGGCCTGCTTCCGGCAGTTCTTCACCAAGATCAAGGTGGGGGCCCGGGTGGAAGCCAGGAGCTGGGCGCATGGGCGGGACTGGAGGGAGAGCGCCCGGGGCGGGGTGGCCCCGGGTGGAGACCAGGAGCTGGGCTCTGTCGGGGTGGGGGCGGGGGCCGAGGGACGGGACTGGAGGGAGGGCGCTCTGGGCGGGGTGGCCCCGGGGGTGGAGACCAGGAGCTGGGCTGGAGGGGAGCGGGGGCGGAGGGGCGGGACTGGAGGGAGGGCGCCCTGGGGATGGAGACCAGGAGCTGGGCTCGGGGGCGGGGCCGAGGGACTGAGGGACAGGACTGAAGGGAAGGCCCCCTGGGGGGATGGCCCGCGGTCACGGCCCGCTGGCTCCTAGACGGCCGACCGGCAGTACATGGAGGGCTTCAACGATGAGCTGGAGGCCTTCAAGGAGCGTGTGCGGGGCCGCGCCAAGCTGCGCATCGAGAAAGCCATGAAGGAGTACGAGGAGGAGGAGCGCAGGAAGCGCCTGGGCCCCGGCGGCCTGGACCCCGTGGAGGTCTACGAGTCCCTGCCTGAGGTGAGTCCCTGCCTGAGGTGCGCGGCTCCAGGGGGGGACGGGGCGGGGGGGGGGCGACCCTGACCCCGCCCCGGCCCTGCGCCCCAGGAGCTGCAGAAGTGCTTCGACGTGAAAGATGTACAGATGCTGCAGGACGCCATCAGCAAGATGGACCCCGCCGTGAGTGCCCGGGCTCCCTCGGGTCTCCCAGGCGGGCGCGGGTGGGGGCCGGGCCGGGGCAGCGCCGCCTCACGGCCGCCCTCCTCCCCGCAGGACGCCAAGTACCACATGCAGCGCTGCATCGACTCCGGCCTCTGGGTCCCCAACTCCAAGTCCAGCGAGAGCAAGGAGGGGGCGGGGGTGGGCCCCGGGGACCCGCTGCTGGACGCCGCCCCCAAGGCCGGCGCGGAGGAGGACACCAGCGCCTGACCCGCCGCCGCCGCCCGGAAAACACAATAGATGCCCTCTTCCCAGCTCCCGCTTCTGTGTCCGCTGCTGCCCCCAGCCCCGGGGGGCCGCCCTCCCCTGCCCCGCGCCCCCCCCACCGCTCATCCCACTCTGCTTCCACCCAAGGGGCTTCCCCGGCTGCCCCCTCCCCGTCAGCGCTATGCCAAAGGCCCCGGGGTCCGGGGAGGGGCAGGGGTCGCCACACTGGTCCGCTGGGCGGGGGGGAGGGTCCCCAGCCCAGGGGCCGCGGGCTCTGTTTTCTCTGTTGGCTGTCGAATCTTCTGTTTGGAAAACAGCAGTGATCTTCCAATAAAGGATTTCAGACGCTCGCCGGGGCCACAGATGGGGCCGTGGGCGGAGCCCTTTGCTGGGGTCGGGGAGAGGCCTGGGTGCCTGTTGGCGGCCCTGCGGGAGACGCCCAGGGTTTTGTTTGCCCGCTGATTGGAACCCCTGCATCTCAGAGCCAGAATCCTCTGCCCTCAGTTCTCTCCCGCCCCTGGCCTCTCTGGGGCCGCTCACCCCACAGCCCGCATTCGGCAGCACCGCCCCCCGAGGGCCCTAAGTCCTACAGCTGTCCCGACCCCCTGCAGGGCCCCCACGGGCCGCCAGAGGGCGCCTGTGAGCCGCCGCGTGGCGCAGGTGCGTCTGCTCACAGCCCTTCCCCGTGGCACTTGACCTTTGTCAGGGTGGCCCCGAGGAGGGTCGGTCAGTGCCTTCCTCAGGCCACAGTGACCAGAGACGATTGGGTGAGGTGCCGCCTGGCAGGGGCAGCCCCCGGCGCTTCTCCTGGGACACCCTTTCCTCTAAGGGTTGGGGGACCCTTCAGAAGTCGGGGCGTGTCCCCAGGTACTAAAAAAAGGGCCACGAGATGAGTGGGAGTAAGAAGATGCATTTCCTGGCTAAAGCCACCATCTGCAGTGCCGGCTTCCCATATGGGCACCAGTTCGAGTCCCAGCTGCTCCACTTCGATCCAGCTCTCTGCTATGACCTGGGAAGACATTGGGAGATGGCCCAAGTCCTTGGGCCCCTGCACCCATGTGGGAGACCCAGAAGAAGCTCCAGGCTCCTGGCTTTGGATTGGCGCGGCTCCAGCTGTTGCAGCCAGTGGGGGAATGAACCAATGATGGAAGACTCCTCTCTCTCTCTGCCTCTTCTCTCTCTCTGTAATCCTGACTTTCAAGTAAATAAATAAATCTTTAAAAAAAATAAAAACATCTCCCAAGCAGCGCTGGCCCAGCAGAGTAAGCTGCTGCTGTGTAGCCCACATCCCACGTGGGCACCGTTTGCAGTCCCAGCTGCTCCACTTCTGATCCGGCTCCTGCTAATGCACCTGGGAACTCAGTGGAGGATGGCCCAAGTCCTTGGACCCCTGCCACCCACGTGGGAGATTCCTGGCTCCTGGCTTCAGCCTGGCCCAGCCCTGGCTGTTGGGACCATTGAGTGACCTCTCTCTTTCCCTCTATCTAACATGCTTTTCAAATAAAAAGTCAATCAATGGCCAGCGCCGCGGCTCACTAGGCTAATCCTCCGCCTTGTGGCGCTGGCACACCGGGTTCTATTCCCGGTCGGGGCACCGGGTTCTGTCCCGGTTGCCCCTCTTCCAGGCCAGCTCTCTGCTGTGGCCAGGGAGTGCAGTGGAGGATGGCTCAAGTACTTGGGCCCTGCACCTGCATGGGAGACCAGGATAAGTACCTGGCTCCTGCCATCGGATCAGCGTAGTGCGCTGGCCGCGGCGGCCATTGGAGGGTGAACCAACGGCAAAGGAAGACCTTTCTCTCTCTCTCTCTCACTGTCCACTCTGCCTGTCAAAAATAAAAATAAAATTTAAAAAATCAATCAGATAATACATTTTCCCTTTTTGAAGGAGTTCTTGATTTAATTGAGTGTGGTTGGGCTCACTCTCAAAGTGGCCACAACAGCCAGCGTCGGGCCAGGCTGAAGCCAGGAGCTCCGTCTGGGTCTCCCACATCACGGTGGGGCTGCAAGCCCTTGGGCAGTCCTCACTGCTTTCCCAGGTGTGGAGCAGCTGGGACTCAAACCAGTGTCCTGCTAAGGGATGCTTAACCTGCTGTGCCATGGTGCTGCCCCGCCCCTACCGTGAGTGTGTTGAAGACACACCCACACCGCCACCACCCATTTCCAGTCTAGTAGAGAGCCCTCTGCCAAGGCGGCACCAAGTACCCTGCTTGTCCAGCCTCTCTAGGGTGGAGACCACCAGGGCATTTGCCAAAGCCTTGGACGAATGGGCCCTGGGTGGGTGTTGTACCGGGGCGGTAGCCACCAGGGGGCGGTGGTGAGCCGCAAACCGAGTGTCCCTGGAGCTGTGCAGGCGGCTGGGACTGGCAGGTGCCGGCAGCCCCTGAACTCTAAGAAAACCTCGCCTAACAACCAGGGCGCTGCTTCCTCTCCGTCCTCTGCTGTGAAAACCCGAAGGTCGCGGGCTTCTTTATCTGCTCTGAGCGTGAATTTCCACCCTGGGTTCCTTGGGGATGACTTTTGCCTTGCTGTCCGCCTTGCAAAACCGCGTTAAACCCTGGATCCTGCCGGCTGAGTTTGCGGCTGCCCTTATCTGTGCCTGGCCCCAGGGCTCAGGGCATCAGGTGGCGCAGCGGGTTAAGCCACAGCCCGCCGCACCGGCATCCCCTGTCGGCGCGCCTGTTCGAGTCCCGGCTGCTCCACTTGTGTCCCAGCTCTCTGCTAATGCGCCTGGGAGGATGGCCCAAGTGCTTGGACCGCTGCCGCCCACGTGGGAGACCCGGGTGGAGCTCCTGGGAGTTCCTGTTGTAGGGTCCTTACTGTGTGAACTCATTTGATGTCCCTTGACAGGCCTCGAGCTGGGGACTGCTGGCTGCGGGCTGTGGGTTTCCTGGGGAACGCAGCTTCCCACGTGGGCCCCGCAAGGTCTGGAATTCTTGGACAGCGCCTCCAGGAACTCACCTGGCTGAGCCGCTGGGGGTGGGAGCTGACCGTTCCCTGAACTCTCCCGTGGACAAGAGCGCCGTGGGATTTTCGCTTTCTATTCCTCAACGCGTGGCTTTTCCCAGCCCGGCGGGGGGATAGCGCTGGGCAGGCCCCTCCTCCAGGCCTCCCTGGGGGGCCCCAGGGGTTCCCCCCCCCGTTCTCAGTGGGGCAGAGCAGCCACGTGGCCCAGACGTCCCAGGACTGTCCCTGTTTTCGCGTGGAAAGTCCCTCGTCGGGGAACCCCCTCTGCGCTGGGCAAACCCAGCCTGGTGGTCACTCTTGGGGCCTGGAGACTCCCGGCTGCCCCTGCGACATGGAATTTCCATCAGGAAGGGCTGGGGTGGGGGTGGAGCGCCTTCCTGGGCTCTTCTCCTCTATCCCCACATGGGGGCGCTGCTGCCGCTTTATCAAGAGCATGGGTGCGGCGGGGCCGGCGGGCCGGTGTTGACACCGGTATCCCCGATTGGACCTGGGATCTCGCTCTCAGTCTACTTATGTCTCTCTGCCTTTCAAATAAAAATCACTTTTTAAAAAAGACATCACTGAGGAGGGACGAAGGCAGTGGTGTCATTATAGAGTCCTAGAATTTCACCTACAAACTATATATAGTTATATATATGTATATATACTATATATGTATATACGTATGTATTTATTATATATATATGTATATATATTTTTTGACAGGCTGAGTTAGACAATGAGAGAGAGAGAGACAGAAAGGTCTTCCTTCCATTGGTTCACCTCCCCCCCCAAATGGCGCTATGGCCGGCACTGCGCCGATCCGAAGCCAGGAGCCAGGTGCTTCTCCTGGTCTCCCATGGAGTGCAGGGCCCAAGCACCTGGGCCATCCTCCACTGCACTCCCGGGCCACAGCAGAGAGCTGGCCTGGAAGAGGGGCAACCAGGACAGAATCCGGCGCCCCAATCGGGACTAGAACCCGGTGTGCCGGCACCGCAGGTGGAGGATTAGCCTAATGAGCCGCGGCGCCAGCCTCTATGAACTATATTAAATCTGTTAAAACTAAAAAATTTTAAAAAGGGGCCGGCGCTGTGGCGTAGCGGGTAAAGCTGCCACCTGCAGTGCCGGCATCCAAATGGGGGCCGGTTCGAGTCCCGGCTGCTCCACTTCCCATCCAGCTCTCTGCTATGGCCTGGGAAAGCAGTGGAAGATGGCCCAAGTGCTTGGGCCCCTGCGCCCGCGTGGGAGTCCTGGATGGAGCCATTGCGGCCATCTGGGGAGTGAACCAGTGGATGGAAGACCTCTCTCTCTCTCCTTCTCTCTGTGTGTAGCTGTGACTTCCAAAAAAAATAAATAAAAATTTAAAATAATTTTTTTAAAAAGACACCACTGATTTCTTTCAAAAAAAAAAAATTACCCGGGGAAGGCCCAGGGAAAACCGAGCTCACAGCCCTCGGCCCGGCCTGCAGGCTGGGGAAATACACACCGTTGTAATTTATTATTATTGCTGGGTCTATGACCATCATTGTTAGTGCTACACTTCCTGCGGAGGGACCTCCGCGGCAGCTGGGCGGTGGAGGCTCCGGGCCGCGCCCTTGCGAGCCGGTCTGGAAGAATCTGGCGTCCTCCGCTTCCTGCTTCTGCTCTGGCCACGGTGGCAGAGGGGAAGTTCGGGGTGGGAGGCCGCGGCCAGCCCTTCCGCAGCCCGGGAACTCGGCCTGGGACCCACGGCTCCAGGGCCACGCCCCCCCCCACGCTGGTTTCTTTTCCTTTTTTTTTTTTTTTAAAGATGTATTTATTTATTTAAAAGACAGAGCCAGAGAGAGAGAGAGAGAGAGGGAGACCGTCCACCTGTTGAATTTGCTACCCAAATGCCCACAGCAGCCAGGGCTGGGCCAGGCAAAAGCCAGGGGCCAGGAGCTCCATATGGCACTGGGGCCATCTCCTGGCTCGGGGCACCTGCGCCCAGCGCTGTCTCTGGCTTCCGCTTGCTGCCAACGCAGATGTGGGAGGCAGCCGTGACGGCTCAAGATCCCTGCTGCCCACGAGGGAGACCGGGACCTTCTCTGTTCTCGCTCTCATGAAATGTATTTGAAAGGCAGAGTGACAGTGGAAGAAAGCGACTTCCATGCCCTGGTCCACTCCCCAGCTGGCCAGGGCGGTGGGGGCTGGGGCCAGGCCAAGGTCAGGTCTGTCTCCCAGGCCCTCGGCCATCGTCCACTGCTTTCCCAGGCGCATCAGCCGGGAGCTGGGTGCTGAGGTATGGGATGCGGGAGTCGCAGGCAGCGGCTTGACCCGCTGCACCGCGGCGCCGGGCCCCTGTCCACATCTACCTGCGTTCCCCGTGGGGGTGTCCTGACCGGATCTTCGCAGGTGCCCCTAACCATGGCAGTGACACGGCCTCCGG